ATGTATTTACTGGCACTCTTCATCAATTTAATGCAGCCTTAATAAAAGTATTATTTTTATTTTTAATCTTTCTGATCCCAAAGTTTTAAATGGTATTGTATCACCGTTTCCACAAAAGTATTGTGCAGCACAACTGTTTTTAACATTGCTAATAATCAGAAATGTTTCTCGAGCAGCAAATCAGCATAGAATAGAAAGTTCATAAATGTCTTTACTGTCACTTTTGATCAATTTAATGCATCCTTGATTAATAAAGTGTTAATTTCTTACCAAAAAAAAAATACCCCAAACTTTCAAACGACAGTATTTATATTGATTTCTAGGCTTTTTTTTGACTGATAATCAGACACAATGGTTTCATGAACACCAGAAATGTTAACAAGACCAGCATCTGGTTCAACAGAAAGTTCTAGATTATAAACTATGTGTGACCCTGGAGCACAAATTCATAGTCATAAGCAGCACAGGTATATTTGTAGCAATAGCCAACAATACATTGTATGGGTCAAAATTATACATTTTTCTTTTATGCCAAAAATCATTAGGATATTAAGTAAAGATCGTGTTCCGTGAAGATATTTTGTAAATTTCCTACTGTAAATATATCAAATTTTTGATTAGTAATATGCATTGCTAAGAACTTCATTTGGACAACTTTAAAGATGATTTTCTCAATATTTAGATTTTTTTGCACCCTCAGATTCCAGATTTTCAAATATTGTGCTATCCTAACAAACCATACATCAATGTTAAGCTTATTTATTCAGCTTTCAGATGATGCATAAACCTCAATTTCACAAAATTGACCCTTATGACTGGTTTTGTGCTCCAGGGTCACATATTTTCACTTGATTCATCGTTGTTTTATCACTACACCAAGTTCAGGACTTAATAACACAGCCTTCAAGATCTAGAAGCCCAATATTTCCTTCACATTGATATATCTGTCTATTATGATGTCTATGGCAGAACGAGAGTATCATTAGACTCATGTTATGATTGGGCTCAAATTCTCCTGTTAGACAGCAGCTCACCGGTTGATCACTGAAGCCCCGATGAGAGACGGATGACAGAAATGAAAGAGAGGATCTGCGTCTGTCCTCCAGAGGAAGAGCGTCATTATATCTGATGTTATTCTGTCCCTGTTTCCCTCTTCAATCTCTGACGGTGATGTAACACACTCTCATCCGGCGCTCTCGTCATCAGCACTAATGCAGTTTGAGAATACACTCACAACCTGACAGATATTACAGCAAAAAATCAACATTTACTCACCAAACCCATATTTCTGAGGAATATCTTGGGCACAGAGGAAAGCTGCATTAACGTTATCATAAAGCATCATAACAGTAATCCATATGAAGTCACATGATGCTTTATGCGAGAAGCAAATAGAAATGACCTTCCTGCATTTCAGCATTTTGAATTTTGAAAATAAAGGTTCTTGTTGAACCTTTAACATTCATGAACCTAAATTGAAAGCTTCATGAAAGTAAACTGGTAACACTTTATTTTAAAGTGTCCTTGTTACATGTACTTACTATTATAATAACAATAAATTATGCATAATTACATGCAAGTAACCCTAAACCAAACCCCAACCATACATGTAAATTACACACGTTCAAATAAAGTGTAACCGATAAAAGTAAGACTTTTTAAAGATCATTGTAAGAGCAATTAAAGAAAACGTAAGGAATAAATTGAAGCGAGTTTAGAAATGTGAACTGGAAAACAAGACAAAAATACTAAACAAGATATACATTTTTTTGGAGTGCATGCAGCTTTTAATGCCATGACTTAATAAATGTAAGACTTTCTGATCCAATTTAGCAAATGACTTTGTGGAAGGGCGAATTAAGACTTTTTAAGACCTGCAGAAACCCTGAAAGGTCCTTTGTACTCAAAAAAAAAAGGGTTCTTTAAAAATAAATCACCAAGGCTGCAATTATTTGTTTCAAAAATACAGTAAAAATGTTGAAACATTTAAATATAAATGAATTGTTTTCTATGCAAATATTTAGTAAAACGTAATTTATTCCTGCGATCTAAGCTGAATTTTCAAAACCATTTTTAGCTGCTGAGAATACTAGTGTTCTAACCAAGTTTTGTCATGCGTTCAAATCAAATATAATGCTACATATTCTTAAAAATAAAGGTTCTTTATTGGAATTGATGGATTTATGAAGAACCTTTAACATCCGTGGAACCTTTTCGATGCACAAAAGGTTATTTATTATAAAAGAAAATTGTTTAAAAAGGTATTTTTTTAAAAAGAAGGGTTTTTTTAAAAAAAGAAAAAAGTATTTTTTTGAAGAGCTGTTCACGGACAAGGTTCTTCACGAAACCAGAAACTGAAAGAATGTTCTTCAAAACACCTTCTTCATGTTCCACAGAAGAAAGAAAGTCACAAGGGTTTAAAGGACAGGATTGTAACGTTTGTGTAAAAGGATTCAGCCATAAGCAGTGAACTGTGGAACCAGCCGCGGCTGCTGTACAGATGGAGCTGCTCTGATTTGTTCTGCTTCTGTGTCGTCTTTGTCTCCAGCGCAGAGGAACACAAAGAAGGAGGGTCCGGCGTGTGTGTGTGAGCTCCCTTTGTGTGCGTCTGCCTTTGTTTGGGACGTACCACTCGGTGTCACCAATCGGCTGCGGCTCCGCTGAGAGCGAGGCGGTCCCTTGCCGGCCCCTCACACACAGCGGGACCCCTAGTGGACGTCACATGATGCTGCAGCTCGGCTTCATTCAGAACACACACACACACACACACACGCTTCACTGAAACACAGAGTCAATCTGATGACATCACAAAGAGCACGAGTATGTGTGTGTGTGTGTGATGTCATCACTAACACAACAGGATGGATTCACTGCACAATATACCGCAGACCCATTTCTTTAAGACGAGACACTACAGGCAAAAACATGTTTTCATGCACTCGTCAGTTTTCAGATTTTGGGATCTGGATTTTCTAAAAAAAAAAAAAAAAAGCAAAATAAACATTTATAGTATGTGTTTATTCTATTGCACTTTATCTACTTGCATCTGTAGATTTCAATTCCAATCCATATCTTTTTCTTATAGTTACACCAAACTTTACAGGTCTATTTCTTTCTATATTCAGAAGGCTTTTACTGAGGGGTTGTTCATACTGTACATCATTCACACTGATTTATATGACGCTTTATTCCTTAACACATGGTGCAAATATGTTTGTTTTGTTGACAGAATTTTTTGATTTATGGAGTGATAAGAGGAATCCAAAATTGCCTCTGGAAAAACCTTTGTGAATTATGAACCTGGTTTTATCTGATGTTCAGATTTCTGTTTTGGAAATGTTCGCAAATTAATGCATATTTTATAAGAGAGTGCCTCATTTGCAAATTTTTTATTTTCATTTAATGTATTTATTTTATTTTATTATAAATTTTTTTTTTGCAATTGCCTAATCAATCAACTATGAATTCCATTTCTGTATTCGGGAATTTATTTTTTTTTATTACAGATTTAATAAAAAAAATTTAATTTCATAAAAAAAATTAAAAAAAATTTAATTAAAAATGTTAAAAAATTTAATTTTTTTCCCCCGAATTCTGTATTCAGGAAAAGTTTAATTTTTTAAAAATAAATAAATAAATAAATAATTTTTTATTACCTATTTACCTTTGGTGTCTTGCCTTAAAAAGTATTTAAAACTGTGTGCAGTAGTTATTAAACAGGTATCATCCCAGAAATACATATGGCTATTTTCGCCTTTTCAGTCTAATTCTAAAGTCTAATTTTGTGTCTAATCAAATAAAATGTCATAAAGATGTTAACAATCAATCTGTAAAAATGCTCTTAATGTGCACAGCACACACAGTATGAGCAGCGTGTTGTTATTAGCGTTCATGATGACATCACAAAGGACAGCGGAAGGAAATTTCCCGCGCTCTCCGTCAGAATGCTGTTGGCACGGCAACAGCAGCGCGCGCACATTCTTGGCAGAGTTATTTCCCGCCGCGGGCCATTTGGAAACCGTTGGTGATATTAGGCGGGAATAATTGAGATGTTGATTGCCCCTCACACCAGTAAATGAGATTATGTTCTGTTGATCGCTCGTTAACAAACCTAAAGCATGATTATGAAAATCTCTTCCTGCTGCCTGGAATGAATATTCCATAGAGTCATATTCCATTACATAAATCATACAGCTACAATAAAACACCAATTCAGTTTCTGCAGAATGTGCCATTCGATATAACGAGCGATTAAACAGTGCGGCGTTTCACACTTTAGAATCTTCTTTGTTGTCGTTTCAACTTTAACTCTATATAGCTACATCATCTTTTACATGCTGTGGATTATAATAACTTGTCATTAATCAGTTTTAATAGACTAATGAGACAGAATCACGTACTAACCTTGTCTGTGTGAATTGTGTTGGAAAAATATATATATATTTTTTTTAACCATTCAAGTGAAAATAATTTTTTGGCAGCCTGTCACAGATGTACATGGAGCTTAAAGGAACAGTTCACAAGAAAAGTGAAATTGTGCTCAACCTTAGGCCATTCTAGATTTAAATGAGTTTGTTTCTTCATCAGGTTTGGAGAAATGTAGCATTACATCAGTGTCTCAGCAATGGATGCTCTGCAGTGAATGGGTGCCGTCAGAATGAGAGTCCAAACAGCTGATAAAAACATCACAATAATCCACAAGTAATCCACAGCACTCCAGTCCATCAGTTAGCATCTGGAGAAGACAAAAGCTGAAACTAACCCAGCATTAAGACCTTTTTAACTAAAATACATAGAGTCCATAATCCATAATAACGCTTCCTCCAGTGAAAAAGTGCATTGGTGTGAATCAGGAGAGAAATCTGCACAGATCAAGCAGCGTTTACAAGCCAAAACAGAAGCTTTTGTCTGTCTAAACTTGTGGATTATTGTGATGTTTTTATCAGCTGTTTGGACTCTCATTCTGACGGCACCCATTCACTGTAGAGGAAACATTGCATGTTTTCACAAACACAACAAACTGAAGACAGACGAGTCAGAGCAAGTGAATTATATTCAATCATTTCAGCACTGAAAACATCTTAAACAGGTTTCAGCGTTCAACTTTCAGTGATTGCATTCATAAATGCATTATAAATATTATTAAAATATACTATCCTCACCACCACAGGATAGAAAAGAATAGAATTCTCTGTGAATCGAGCAAATATGTACATAATCAGATATCAAGATAAAAAGAAACCTCATCAGCAGGAAACGTGTAGATAAGCTAATAAAACCGTCGGTCTTCTGTTCTCCGTCACGACTCAGTCCGTCTTTTTGGTGTTTTCTGCGTCTTGGGGGTTGGTTTGGTCCGGTTCGTCGGAGGCCGATCCGTTGGGTTTGTTGCGGATCGGGGAAGAGTCGGTCAGAGGTGAAAAGGTCAAAGGTCGAACAAACAGAGTCTTGTAGACCAGAGACTCCACCGCTGAGAACGGATACGACGACGAACCCAACAACATCATCCGCGTCTGAAACAACAGACGGAAGACTTCTTAAGAAAGTTTGAGGATTAACCCTTGTGCGACCTTTTGGACATTTTTGTCCTTTTCAGTTTTGTTTTTTTGATCATTTTGCCTGTGTTATTGCCAAATGCACTGTATGTGTGTCATAAAAATAAAAAAAATTGTGTGTGTGTGCGTGTGTGTTCTTGTAATATTTGAGAGAGAAAAACTCTACTGCAAATCACAAATCCAACCACTGTGTGCACCAGCGGAGTTTTGCTGGCATCTAATGCGGAAAATTTGGTACTTACGCCCAAACAAAATCTTACTGAAAGCTCATTTTTTTAGATATCAACCTCAAATTTGGAATACAACTTGTTTAGATTTATGGCTTTGATTTTCTAGCAGGTATAGAGTTCAACATGTTTCATAAAATATATATTTTATATAAAACATCGTTCATAAATCATTTTCATAAACCTAAACATCTAGAACTTTTTTTTGGTTCAACTTTTTAAACTTTTTTTACTTCAACAATAATCTGCCATGGGTCTTCTTTAAAATGAGACCAAACTTAACTCTGTGCTCCCAAGCTTCAAATTTTTATGACAGTTTTTTGACATTTTTGTCCACTATGGACCTATGTGTAACTTTTTTTAAGTGAAGCACAAGGGTTAAACACAATACGTCAATATGTTCTCAGAAATGAGCAGAAAACGAGATATGTTGTGTCAAAACTCACAACTTACAACAGCTCTCCAATACGTTTTGCACACAAAAATAGCTTAACTACTGTAGAATATCAAAATAACTTTTACTGATCACACCGCATAAAAGTCTTGTTTTTCAGTGCAAATGCCTAAAATTTCTATGAGTCTATGATAAACTAAGTGAATTTATGATTAAAAAAGGACAAATATCTGCCAATGGGCTCCAAGAAAAATCCAATTAAGTTTTCAATTCCCATTGGCAGATATTTGTTCTTCTTCTAATCAAACGTCTCAGGTTACTTATGTAACCATGGTTCCCTGAGTAGGGAACGAGACACTGCGTCCTCTAGGGGTCGCCATAGCGACCCCTAGAGGACGCAGTTCGAAGTTGAACTTTATATCTTACATCTTCATTTTGCATCTCCAGTAAATGTATCTTGATTAAAGGAGGTTTAGATGTTTGTACTGGAAAGCAAGACACAAATACTTTTTTTTTTTTTGGCAGTGTATGCAACAATTAATGCCATGGGTTTATGAATTTAAGACACTGATTTAAGGCCTTTTAATTGGTGGGAGGGTGCACTAAGACTGGCAGAAACCCTGAGTTTCTCAAAAATAGAGTCAAAGATGAACGCACATCTGAAAGGACTGAAAGTATAATCCTCAGTTATACTAATGAGTCAAACAGAAAGCTGAAGGAGAGAAGCGCTGAGATAAGACTGAAGAACTCCAGATTTACTGTCATTCTCGTTCAAAAACTTCACTCTTTTTGAAGCAGAATGATGCAATTACATGAAAATGATGCAAAAAGCGCGAGAGCCGTGTAAGAGCGCGAAGCGGCGTGGATCACACTGAAGGGCAAAAGAGGATGGAGAGAGACGAGAGCAACACCACTCACTTTGATGAGCTTTAGCAGCTCGTTCGTTAAATTCAGTCAAACGAATGCCAGCAGATTCAAACACCACACTCCGGTCAATCAAACCTCTCTTTGCCTGGTTTCCAATCGTGAAATCACAGCTAATATTTGTTTATCAGTAAATAAACACACTATCATGGCGTTTCACTGTACATCCTCTAGGTTTCCCCATAGCGACCCCTAGAGGACGCAGTTCGAAGTTGAACTTTATATCTTACATCTTCATTTTGCATCTCCAGTAAATGTATCTTGATTAAAGGAGGTTTAGATGTTTGTACTGGAAAGCAAGACACAAATACTTTTTTTTTTTTTGGCAGTGTATGCAACAATTAATGCCATGGGTTTATGAATTTAAGACACTGATTTAAGGCCTTTTAATTGGTGGGAGGGTGCACTAAGACTGGCAGAAACCCTGAGTTTCTCAAAAATAGAGTCAAAGATGAACGCACATCTGAAAGGACTGAAAGTATAATCCTCAGTTATACTAATGAGTCAAACAGAAAGCTGAAGGAGAGAAGCGCTGAGATAAGACTGAAGAACTCCAGATTTACTGTCATTCTCGTTCAAAAACTTCACTCTTTTTGAAGCAGAATGATGCAATTACATGAAAATGATGCAAAAAGCGCGAGAGCCGTGTAAGAGCGCGAAGCGGCGTGGATCACACTGAAGGGCAAAAGAGGATGGAGAGAGACGAGAGCAACACCACTCACTTTGATGAGCTTTAGCAGCTCGTTCGTTAAATTCAGTCAAACGAATGCCAGCAGATTCAAACACCACACTCCGGTCAATCAAACCTCTCTTTGCCTGGTTTCCAATCGTGAAATCACAGCTAATATTTGTTTATCAGTAAATAAACACACTATCATGGCGTTTCACTGTACACTTACAATAATTTGTGACCTGGATACACTGCATGTTTACTTCAGTGAGTGGCGTTCTCTTATAAATGCAGTTATTTTGCATTTCTAATTCTATTTTGCATTAAATGTCAGAAGGTTTGACTGTTTTGTCATAAGGAGGTCAAGATCAAGTTGCGTATATATATATATATATACAGTGGGTACGGAAAGTATTCAGACCCCCTATGTCTGTTTAACTTATATCTGTTTGTACTTGTTTGTAAAGCACAACATCTACAAAATGGAGAACTATAAAAGTGCTATATAGTTTATTACCATTTTTATTAATTTGCCATGTGTAGTTTTGGGTATTCATGTATAATAAGTGTTTTTTTTATTGTATATATAGACCAATTTGGAGTAGACGTCACAGTTACGTCACTTGCAGCTGCGCGCGCATAGTGGTGGCAGAAAAACACTGGGAGCAAGTGGATGGAAACGAGGTAAAAACCATGGAATAAGAGAAAAAATTTATTGTTGTGCCTTTGGATGTCAGAATCAGAATGCAAATAATTTTTATATAATACTGTCGATGCCATTTGAAGCTAAACGCAGACGTTTACACGGACAGACTACGGATGAAACCTGCTATGATTACCCTACTTTAAAGCATAAATTAGATTTAAACAATAGGTCTCTATAATATTCACATAGGGGACATATTGTATTAGCCCTACAGTTAAAGCATGAAATATTATTTAAACCTATAACATTTTACATAACATTTACCTATTTTATCTCACAATTCTGACTTTTTTTTCCTGCAAATGCAAGTTTATATCTCCTAGTTCGAACTTTATAACTTAATTCAACTCAACAATTGCGAGTTTGTCAATTCTGAGGATAAAAAAGCCAGAAGTGTGGGATTATAAACGCATGATTCTGAGCCGAGGGGAAAAAAAGAGAATGACGAGTTGATTTTTCTTACCAGAATTACCAGATATAATCTCGGAATTTAAAGAAAAAAAATCAGAATTTTGAAATTATACTCAATTTCCTTTTTTATTCCGTGGCTTGCATAGACTGCTACGTTAAAACTGGCATTTTCTGCCACCAGATAGGACACACAGACACAGACACAGACACGCACACACAGACACACACACACAGAGGTCAAAGGTTAAACGAGGAAAGTTAAATATAACTGCTCTGACTCTACAATGTAAAACAGACAATTAACACACGACTGAGATGCACATTCTATAGAAATGTGTCACGTTTAACGTCACTCTGCAACCATAAACCTTCTAATATTACTTAGTGGAAGAATTGTATAGTGTGATTATTATTAATAATAAATTGCTATCCACTGTAAACGTGTCTTCATCATTTGTTTGAATCCATTTAACTCTCACAATAATTGCTTTTGTCATTTCTACTTGATTTTATGAGTCACTCTTTCAACTAATAAATTAAATTCAAAATAATAAAAAATTAAAAAATGTTTATGGGCAGAAATATTTTTACAGTGTTTATTGAACATTTATCGATCATATGTGACCCTGGAGCACAAAACCAGTCATAGGGGTCAATTTTTTGAAATTGAGATTTATGCATCATAAGCAAAGAAATAAGCTTTCCATTGATGTATGGTTTGTTAGGATAGGACAATATTTGAAAATCTGGAATCTGAGGGTGCAAAAAAAATCTAAATACTGAGAAAATCGCCTTTAAAGTTGTTCAAATGAAGTTCTTAGCAATGCATATTACTAATCAAGTATTAAGTTTTGATATATTTACGGTAGGAAATTTACAAAATATCTTAATGGAACATGATCTTTACTTAATATCCTAATGATTTTTGGCATAAAAATCAGACTGTCCTGGACTGCTTTAATCTTACCCAGAATGCTAATTTCCCAACCCACACTCGTGGTCATACACTTGACTTAGTTTGTACGTCTGGTGTGAATAACATCTCCATCAGTAGTCATGCTATTCCTATCTCTGATCATAAGCTTATCACTTTTGACTTTACGTTAATACATCCTACTAAATGTGCTGGTAATACTACCATTTCTTATCGCAAAATCAATGCTATCAATGTAAATACTTCTGCTGCTTCAGTTGCTTCCTCTACTATTTCTGATGTTTTCAAATTCACCTGTCCATATGTGATATCTGACCTATATCATTCTGTTATTGTTGATGTTTTAGATGAGCATGCTCCAATTAGGACTAGGTCTGTTGCTTTGTCCCACACCTCTCCCTGGTATAATGCTGAGCTCCGTGCTATGAAGGCAAAAGGCAGACAGCTTGAACGCCTTTTTAGAAAAACTGGCCTGACTGTCCATTTTCATATATTTTCAGAATATATTAGGCATTATAAAACTGCCTTAAAGGCAGCACGCTCTTCCTATATTTCCGACATCATCAAAAAAGCTAACAATAGGCCACAAACACTGTTTAACATGGTTAATAAATTAGTCCAGCCACCTAGCCATAGTCTCAGTCAATATGAATGTGATGATTTGTGTGGCTCTTTCTTGCGCCACTTTCAAATAAAACTGGACGCTCTATGTGGGCCTCTTGGCACTGAACCAACCACTTCTATTTGTGAGCAAGCTCAATCTATTCAACTGTTAAATAATTTTACCTTGACAACTCCAACCTTAATTGCTGAAATAATACAGAACTCTAATTCTTCCACATGCCAGCTAGATCCTGCGCCCACATTCCTTCTGAAACACTGTACTTCTGTCATTTCTGCTCCTGTCTCACACTTAGTAAATATGTCCTTTATCTCTGCCACTGTTTCCAATTTCACTGAAAACTGCTTCTGTTACTCCTGTTCTTAAAAAACCAAACCTGGACCCAGCTGATTTCACCAACTATCGTCCAATCTCCAATCTACCATTTATTTCGAAAATTATGGAAAAAGTTGTTGCCAATCAGCTACAGTCTTTTCTAGCTCTCAGCCATCAGTTCGATGCATTTCAATCTGGTTTTCAGCTCTCATCACAGCACTTTAGTTAAGGTTGTCAACGATTTGTTACTCTCGGGTGACTCAGGTAATCTCTCCATTCTCCTGCTGCTCGAGCTCAGCTCAGCATTTGATCTATCACAAGATATTACTCTCCCGCATTTCAGAGATAGGTGTCTCAGGTGCTGCACTATCCTGGTTCTCTTCCTATCTCACTGATAGACAATACAACATCACTATGCATAATTATAAATCTCCCACTACTTTACTCAGTCAGGGTGTTCCCCAGGGCTCTGTTCTTGGGCCATTACTATTCATTACTTACATCATGCCTCTTGGACATATTATCCGTCGTCATGGTTTTCATTATCACTGTTATGCTAATGATATTCAGATACACACTGCATGCAGACCAGATTCTATTCACCAGACCACATCACTATCTACCCGTGTCAATGAGCTAAAGGCCTGGCTAAATTCTAATTTTCTCAGTTTGAATTTGAACAAAACAGAAATTTGAATTACTGGCCCCCTTCACTAACAAAAAATATAGTAAATGCTCCCAGTTTCAACAATTTTTCCATCTGCTACTGTCAGAAATTTAGGCATTACTCTTGATCCTTCACTGACTCTGGATGTTTACATTAGTAAACTGTCCAAATAATTGCACCTAAACTATGGAACTACCACTGGCACTAAGAACAATAACCTCACTCTCTGTATTTAAATCACAACTCAAAACCTACTTGTTTACCCAATACTATCAGTCATAACATGTTCGTTAGACACTCTCCTCATCCTATACTACCAGCTGTAATTCTCTCTGAGTATTTTCGTTCTGTGTATTTTTGTTGCATTTACTATTCTTTGTTTGTTACTTATTGACATTATCCTTTTTCTGTTATTACTTATACTATGTTGTGTATCTCCAGTACATAATTTTTAGGCATTACTCTTGATCCTTCACTGACTCTGGATGTTTACATTAGTAAACTGTCCAAAGCTGCATTTTTCCAGCTTCGCTGTTTAGCCCAACTTCGATCCTATGTTTCTCCAAAAGATGCTGAATCATTAGTGCATGCTTTTATTACATCACGCCTCGACTACTGTAATGCTCTTTTTGCCGGATTACCATTGCACTCTATCTCTCGTTTACAATATATTCAAAATTCTGCTGCAAGAATATTAACCCATACTAAACCATCTGCTCATATTACCCCTATCTTATTTAAACTCCATTGGCTCCCTGTATTATCTCATTCTTCTGCTTACTTTTAAATCACTCAATGGCCTTGCTCCTCCTTATCTCTCTGATCTACTGTCTCCTTACGTTCCGCCTCGATCACTTCGATCTACAGGGTGTGAACTTCTTACTGTACCTAGATTTCATCTATCTTCAATGGGTGGCAGGTCATTTTCCATAATTGCACCTAAACTATGGAACTACCACTGGCACTAAGAACAATAACCTCACTCTCTGTATTTAAATCACAACTCAAAACCTACTTGTTTACCCAATACTATCAGTCATAACATGTTTAGACACTCTACTCATCCTATACTACCAGCTATAATTCTCTCTTGAGTATTTTCGTTCTGTGTATTTTTGTTGCATTTACTATTCTTTGTTTGTTACTTATTGACACTATCCTTTATCTGTTATTACTTATACTATGTTATGTATCTCTGTTTCCAGTACATAACGCTTACTCTCCTGCGTTCTTCCACACAAACCCTTTCAAATGCCACTCGCACAAAAACATGACAACAAGTGTCTCCAAGAAATCAATACAGAAGCCAATTATTCTACCTGCGGCATTCTGGGAGCAAACGCTATTATTCTGAGAGAAAGAGACTCAGCTTCTGCAGACAAACACCGCCATCAAATCTGGACAAAAACAGCTCATCCGTGATGCTTTCATCTCATTTATGAGTTCAGATGAGCTCATTAACACAATGAGCGTCCTCAAACATGAGCACTTTGTCTCATGAATGTCTTTTAGACACTGAAATCACTCAAAATATCTGATGAAGAACAGCAACAGTAGAGAAGAGAAAAGATCCTGCAGATCTGAAATGATGTTCAGACATTCAGAAAGAAAAGCTGCTGTCTGAGGGATTTTATATGTTCAGATATCATTTTAAATTTTAGGGAAAAAAAATTCTAAAACTTTAACTAAAATTGTCAAAGCAACATCTTTCATTTTCATTGAGTTTAACTTGATTAAATTAAGCAAAGCTAAAACTGAAATAAAAATGTATTTAAAAAAATTAATGTTTCAAATCCAAAATAATAAATTAAATTATTTAATAAAAATATATTTAAAAAGTTTTCAGTTTTCATTTTTATAAAAAAAAATATACAGACATTTAAAATAAAAAAAATCACAAAATTACTAAAACTCTAATTTTTATTAGTTTTTTTTATTTTCTTTTATAGGTCTGTATTTTTTGTTTTTTAATTTACTGAAACAAATGTGTTAATTATACATACATATAAACAATTTTTAAATCAAAATGATAAAAACAACAAGTTATCACAACAATAATTTTTATTAGTTTTGTGATTTTTTTTAAACATATATATTCTTTTAATAACTTTCACTTTTAGTTTGTTATTTCAGTCAACTGAAACTCAAGTGAAAATAAATATAAATAGATAGATTAAATAGAATAAATAAATAGCTTCTGTTTTTTTGTAAATATGTCTATATAGTTTTAATTCATTTTTATTTCATTTACTACAAGTTAAACTAAATTAAATTAAAAAATGTTTCCTTGGCAACTAGCAGGAATAAAAGCTATTAATTTAAAGTTTTTTTTATAATTTATTTCAGTTAATGCTTATTTTAGTTCACGTAACAACGTTTTTAATTGTTTTAGTTAGCTATAACAACCCATGCACAAAATTGTCCGATACTTATATTATTTAATTTTATTATTATGAGGTGAAATACGACCTGAATGTGGTGTTCCTTGACTTCAATGTCTGTGACCATTTCAGAAATGATCTTGTGTCGTATATCTGGAATATTTAAGACTCTTACTATGACATCTTCAGGAGTTCGTTGGTTTCTGGTTTCCAGACGCCTCGAACCAGCTGCTCAAAGTTACTCAAGAGTCCTCCACCGGCTCCTGCAGACACACAATCACGTCTGGAGATCAGAGATAGCATCCGCTATCGATAATAACTCCGTCAATAACTCTCAGGATGATGCACGAGTCGCTCGCTGATGTGTTTTGGCTCTTAAACTTTTATCATTTCAGCGGCGATTGTAATTAGTCACCTCGACCTCTTGATATTTCAAAGCGTTTCTCGCTGTAATTGAAGGACAGCGGGGTGAAATGCATCATGGGTTTTAATAATGAGTGTGATGAAATAACCTTGAGCTTTTAAACACTGAAATGCCAAGCCAAGAATACTGTCACATCCCGCTCGATATCTGACTGGAAAAAATGAACGTGGATGGATGAACGTAATTAGTCGCGCCGTACCTTTAGCCCAGCCCACCGCGATCATCACAAACAGACCGTCTTTGTACTTCCTTCCTGCTTGTGTGACTCCGCCCAGAACCTTCCAGGTACGGGTCACTTCCTTCATCGCCGTCAAGAGCAGACGCACGGGCAACACGGACGCAAGCGAGTACACGGCATCCAGAGGACAATAAAACACCACACACACACACATAAACACACACACACATAAACACATAAACACACACTTATCAATACATACGAGTCTAGAATAAATCTCTCAAAAACACATCCAGTTCAAACATCACTGCAAATGAGAAATATCATGGGCTAAATGTCATGTAAATAATGCCACAATCAGTGCTATTTTACAAAAAGTAACAAAAAGTAACAAAAGTGGTTACTTTTTCACAAAACAGTAACACAGGTAACAATGCATTACTTTTTCCATAAAAAGTAACTACGTAACACAAATAGTTACTTTATTATGGAGCAACGCAATATTAATAACTTTAAACGTAACTTTTTCAAACACTGGCACACACACACACACACACACACAATTTCACTTTTAGTTTTAGTTATTTCAGTCAACTGAAACTCAAGTGAAAATAAACATAAATAGATAGATAAAATAGAATAAATAAATAAATAAATAGCTTCTGGTTTAAAAAAAAATGTCTATATAGTTTTAATTCATTTTTATTTAAGTTTTAGTTAATTTTGTACATTTAGTACAAGTTAAACTAAATGAAATTGAGAAATGTTTCCTTGGCAGCTAGCTGAAATAAAATAAGTTAAAGTTTTTTTAATTAATTTATTTTCAGTTAATGTTTATTTTTAGTAACGACAATGTTTTTCAAATTGTTTTAGTTAGCTATAACAACCCATGTGCAAAATGTTATGGTACTTTATTTTATTTTTTAATTATTATTCTGAGGTGAAATATGACTTGAATGTGGTGTACACAAAAAGTAACAAAAGTGGTTACTTTTTCACAAAACAGTGACAAAATGTAACACAAAAGTAACAATGCATTACTATCCATAAAAAGCAACTACACTCTTAAAAATAAAGGTGCTTCAAAAGGTTCTTCAAGCGATGCCATAGAAGAACCCTTTTTGGTTCCACAAAGAACCATTTAGTCAAAGGTTCTTTAAAGAACCATCTCTTTCTTACCTTTTTATAATCTGAAGAACCTTCTTTCGCCACAAAGAAGCTTTTGTGAAACAGAAAGGTTCTTCAGATGTTAAAGGTTCTTTATGGAGCCATTTAGACAAAAAGGTTCTTCTATGGCATCGTGAAGCACCTTTATTTTTAAGAGTGTAAGTAACACAATAAGTTAGTTTTTCATGGAGTAACGCAATATTGTAATGCATTACTTTTAAAAGTAACTTTCCCCAACACTGGCGCGCGCACACACACACACTCACACACACACTCACACACTCACTCACTCACTCATTCACTCTCTCACTCTCTCACTCTCTCACTCACTCACTCACTCACTCACTCACTCACTCACTCACTCACTCACTCACTCACTCACTCACTCACTCACTCACTCACTCACTCACTCACTCACTCACTCACTCACTCACTCACTCACTCACTCACTCACTCACTCACTCACTCACTCACTCACTCACTCACTCACTCACTCACTCACTC